GCAAGATCTGTACAAAAAGAACTTAAGACTCCAACTCCACGGAGAAAAATACTTCTTACGAAGCTAATATACTGTAAGCCAAATAATCAATTTCCAGATTACTAAGGAACCCGAAGGCTCATTACCGCCTTCAGAAGAGCCTGTCACTGATCCGTATCGAACTGGTGAATCAGCAAGCGGAAAGACGAAGGACAATAGTAGAGGAAGAAGAGATACGTCATAGAAAAAGCTGGCACGTTTATGGAGTTAGGGTTCTGAATGCAGGGGGTCTCAGAAGCAAAGCAGAGAAGAACGGTTTTCTGGCCCTACCTGATCCTTAATGGAAAAGAAACTGGGACCCCATTAAGGAAACGTGTAAAGACACCATTGCTCCAGAGTTTCCACTGACGATAAAAGACCACTCGGAAGACACGGACGTAGATAAAAGCGTAATATTAATATATATTTCAGTATTTTGTGGCTTCGGGGTATGTGGACTGGATTTATTTGCCTCAGCATAAGAATAGTTGGCGGACATTTGTGGATGGGGTAATGCAACGTCGCGTACTATTAGCTTCTCAAGGAGGGTTCATCTGCATGGTGTTGGTATGCTATCGATGTTGATGATGAAACTGAAGGAATTAACACAAAAATGTTACTATATAACACAAAAGCGGCATATTATTGTTGTAATTATAATTCAGCATTGTAATGCGATTGCTGGAGGGACTGGGTAATATTGCATTAACGGGCAAAATAACTTCTGAAGCAGGATTCGTCCCTGATCAGAAACTGATCCCTGTGCTACTTCTTGCCGTTACTCAATTCCTTCACTTTCTGTGCAGATAAATGTGGAAGTAATATGTAACTGGGGAAAACAATAGTGATTGGTTTTCCTTCCAAATAAAATGTTCAGAAATAAAGCAATTCCTTAGTTTAGGTTGGTCTCTGAATAAATTGCAAAGCACCATTTTCCAATAATATGATGACGTCATTTCCAGTATCGTATCCAATATCGAATGTGTTTGTGAGAAAAGAAACCCGATACTCGGAGTGCTGGTGGCTTGCGTCTAGCAGAGAAGCTGTTGTATCCAATAATTCGAGTGCAGGGGATAACTTTCGTGCAAGAAGGACGGGTGATCTATTTTTTGTTATTACACCGCTAGGTTTACAACAACGCGGAACAATATCAGATTAATTTGAAAACTAATTCCACTTTATATTCAAGTGATGTCGCCGTTATTACTTGTACCCCTACGCAGTGGGAACCCGTGTTCGTCGACAGACAAGTGTAGCCAAATGAGTTGTACGACTCCTCGTATCTATTCGTACAGCTCCTAAGACGTTTCTCATACAAATATACTAAAATTTAAAGACTATAACATTAAAAATAACCGAAGCCAGGTTTATTCCTGAAAATGTGCAAAATTTTGAGAAGAGAAACACTTGCATGGCAGTAATACGACTGAAATTAACGATGGTAAACCGACATTACGTGTATGTAGCTAGAAACCGGTTGTGAGGGCATGATTGCGTTTAGCTATCACAACAACATTAAATATCGTATTACCATTTCTCCGGAACATGGCCAGTCCATTAGTGAGGTCGTGCATTGCCATTAGACAAACGGTCGGCCGGTGAGCATATGATGGCAGTAGGCACACAGGGGAATCTATTTCCTCTTTTCAACTGCTTCCACTAGCATTCTAACATCCTGTCAGGCTTGTGTTGCATTTTATGTTTTCAGTCTTGAATGTAAGAGTTATCTTGATTCAAGTCATGCAAACTTATCTCCTAGCTGCCAACGCAATACATGAAGAGTATTAAAGTTTTACTCAGTCAGAGAATAGTGTAACAAGTAATGACACGTGA